ATACTATGCAGTCATAAAGAAGGATGAGTTCATGTCCTTTGCAGGGACATGGATGAATCTGGAAACCATCATTCTCAGCAAACTAACACAAGAACAGAAAACCAAACACTGCATGTTCTCACTCGTAAGTGGGAGTTGAACAATAGAACACATGGACACAGGGAGGGGGACATCACCCACCGGGACCTGTTGCGGGTGTGGGGCTAGGGGAGGGATAGCATTAGGAGAAATAGCTAATGTAGGTGATGGGTTGATGGGTGTAGCAAACTACCATGGCATGTGTATACCTATGTAACAAAACTGCACGTTCTGCGCGTGTACCCCAGAACTTAAAGTGTAAAAAAAAAAAAAAAGAAAGAAAGAAAGAAAAGAAATAACCAACTGCAATTTTGACTTAGTTGTTTTGTTATTTTGGAAGATGGGGAAGGTGAAAAGAAACTAGTTTACATATACAAAGGCCACACACATACACACACACATACACACTTATATTCTGGGCTGTGTATACTTTCATTGTGCCTTAAAGTCTGGACAACATGGGCTCAGATCTCCCAACTCCACAATTTATGGAAAGTTCAGTGACCTTGCCAAGAGCAATCCAAATTTCCAAGGGTATTAGGTTAACACAGTTGCTTCTTTATTTGAGCCCCTGCTTCCGCTAGACTGTTTTGCCCAGGGCGTCACTGCCTGGCATGTGAGGAATCTGATCCACATGATGGGAAACTGGCCATGGATCTCCCCCACATTCAAAGAGTAGCCAAACATGCTACTCCCCCGGGATCTTAGAATGTGAGGTCGAATTTATTGAAGGTTTGGGGGAGATGATTGAAAGTTTATATCACAGCAACTCAAAACTTTAAAACTACATAACCTCCACCTCTCTCCTTCAAAGTCCCTTGACCTCTCCATTTTGTTGCTCTTTTATTTCATCTTTCTTTCTCCTCTACTTCCTCCTTTCCAGAAGCTTGAAAAGCTAAATTTTTAAAACATATGATGAAGAATTCCCCACTGTATTATACAGAACAATTAAGCTATCTCTATTTCCTACCCTGAAACTCAACACACACTACTTGCTTATAGAAGACTCAGGGACCTCTGATGCCCAGGGTTGATGGGCCTGGCCTTTCTTGGCTGACTGAATCCTTGAACCAGGACTAAAATACTTGCAGTCCATAGCTCTGCCTGGCGAGATCACAGCTGATTGCTCTGTTGCTCTCTGTGCTTTCTCATATTTTTCAAATTGTTGTCCATATTTTTTATTCAGGCAAAAGTAAATAATCAAATGCTTTTAAAATGTTCTGCAAAAATAAACCCAGGCTCTTGTGGAAAATAGTTTCTTGGAGGATATATATAAAGGAAATTTGAAGGTGAGGTGGAAACTAAGAGCAGGGAGTCCCCAAACTTTTCCTGTAAAGAGCCAGAGAGTAAATATTTGAGACTTTGTAGGCCAAATAGTCTCTGTCACAAATATTCAACTCTGCCATTGTTGCCAGAAAGCAGCCAGCAACAATACACAAACCAGTGAGCCCAGCTGCGTTTCAATAAAACTTTATTTACAAACTAGGGGTAAGCGTGATAATTGAGCCCATGAGCTGTAGCTTGCCAACCCCTGCTAAGAGGAGGTGTCAAACGTATATATGTGCTTGATGGGAGCTTGAGTGACACTCTCACAAAGGAGAAAGTTAAGATGATGTGGTAAAGCCATCACATAGCTTTCATAAAATTTAATTGTTTCTCTTTTTCATATCTTTCAGAGACAGTTTATTTGTTTTTTCATTTGTTCTTGGGTTTGTTTGTTTTGAGTCTTGTTCTGTAGCCCAGGCAGGAGTGCAGGGGCACAATCTCAGCTCACTACAACCTCCTGCACCCTGAGTAGCTGGGATTACAGGAGCCTGCCACGATGCCCAGCTAATTTTTTGTATTTTTAGTAGAGACGGGGTTTCGCTATGTTGGCCAGGTTGGTCTGGAACTCCTGGCCTCAAGCTATCCACCGGCCTCGGCCTCCCAAAATGGTGGAATTACAGGTATAAGCCACCACACCTGGCCCAAAAGTTTAGAAAGAACAATGATTTAGCTCCTTCAAAAACTAAATTTTAAAAGGAATTGGAAGGCTAAGGTGCTAGGTTCAATGAAAAAGTAAGTTGGATTAGAGAAAAATAAATCCGTCTGGTGAAGAAAAACTTTCTGGTTAGGGGAGAGGCAACATTAGGCAAAGAACTGCTGGCCATGGTCTCAGGAACCCTGGACATGTCTGGCCTCTGGCAGGAACTTTGTGATGTTCAAATCAGTTAACCTCTGAGGGACACAAGGTTCTTTCTGGTAAATGATAATGTTGCATTAGATGAGGCCAATGCTTTTCCAGCTCTAAGATTCCGTTAAAGATTATCTCAGAATCTTACAGAGAGCTAGGGGCAGATACAAGAATCTATTTTTCCTCTTTTCCTCCTTAAGAGTTAATAAATCAATCGAGTGCTCCCCACCGGCCAGGTGGTTGCCCTACATTGTCTTACTTCACAGCTCTCATTCCTGGACATGTCCAGTTGACCCTAGAGGTTGGGCATCATTATCTTGACCTTTTAATAAAAAACATAGGCTTCTCAATAGTCAAATGATTTATCCTTGGTTATGTGTTACACAAATAATAAGAGTTAGAACTGAGAGACTGACTCTAGGCCCAGCATTTTAGGCTATAGCACTAATTTCCTTTTATCATGGATGTATACCCTCCTTTCTGTCAGGAAAGAAAAAAATTGGATACTGAAAAACAAATGGGAACTTTCTTCTGAGAGTCAGCGCAAATGGGAGAAGTCAGTAGAAGTTTGCAAAGTACATATTGGAGGTTCAGCTATTGAGGGAAACCTTTGACAGCAAGAGTAGGCTTAACATAAGTTAAAGGCAATTTTCTACATAGGTCTAAAAAATAAAAACTAGGCTAGGTTGGGAGAGATGGTTGTTGAAAAAGAGTGTGAAGGAGGATCCAGATGTCAATTCCAATCTGTACCTGGGGATCCTAAAGGGAACAAAATCCTCCAAAGGAAAGAGAACTGCATCTTACAAGTTTATTTTCCAAGTGAAAGACAGCTTTGTTACATTTGCAGCTAGGCTTTACAAGAAAAAGGACAGTATACCTGGAGGCAAGCTAGGATTTTCTGAAAGAGGAACAAATTCTACATCCTTCTCCTACTGCCTTCTGACCTCTGGTTAGTCCCCTAATGAAGACGAATAGATTATGTTAGACCTCACAGAGGCAGGGCAGAGGGAAGGAGGGGTGGTGCCTTACTCACAGAAGGAAGTCATTATCATCTTTGAAGATGACTTCAGACACAGCAGTGGCCCCGTGACAGCCTTTTGCTTTCAATTACTAACCTTTTGAGTAAAAGAAATGGAAATATCTTAGCATCAAGCTTTTGTTGGCAAGTATGTTCTAGCTTCTTTTTTTAACTTTCATATTGCATGTGTGTGTGTGTGTGCATGCATAAAAGTTTTTCACTCACAAAGGGCCTTTTACTGTCACTAATGGAAGCAGGAGAGACCATTACAGAACATGGATAGCATTAGTGCCCAGGAAATTGCATTCTTGTTTGAAGCCAGATAATTCTGGTGAATAGAGAAGCCCTAGCTACCACCAGCTTGTTGGTGTGCCTTTTGGGGCATCCTGACAAGGAGGTTACTGTTAGTCAGAAGAAAAATAAATCAAAATCAGACGAACACAGGGAGTTCATGGGGAAGGAAGATGGATTAAATAAGCAGGAAGACAATTATCCTTCTCCGCCAATACAGCCATAAGCTTTGTTCAATATTTCCAACTTAAGATATTCAGCTGATGGCTTTCGGGCAAGGTCAGGTCGGTCAGTCTAGAAACGAAAAGAGCTCACTCTGCTGTTTCACCTGTTCCCTCACCTCTTTTTCCACAGGGAATCTTACAAAAGTGAATTGCATGGACAGTTCAGTCTATATCACCAGCTGAAATCTCCACTGTGTCAATGCAAAAAATTATATCTGCTTTTAGGAACTGAGGCATTTTAGTGGAACTTGGCTTCCTCTCAAGTTAGGATAAACTCTTGAGGCTGAAGACTAGTTTATATTTTAATATCTTTAGAAACTGGCCGGGCACGGTGGCTCACGCCTGTCATCCCAGCCCTTTGGGAGACCGAGGTGGGTAGATCACTTGAGGTCAGGAGTTCAAGAAAAGCCTGGCCAACATGGTGAAACCCCATCTGCACTAAAAATACAAAAATTAGCCAGGCATGGTGGCATGCGCCTGTAATCCCAGCTACTCGGGAGGCTGAGACATGAGAATCATTTGAACCTCAGAGGCAGAGGTTGCAGTGAGCCGAGATTGTGCCACTGCACTCCAGCCTGGGCAACAGAGTGAGACTCCGTCTCAAAATATTAATAATAATAATAATAATATCTGTAGAAATCATTAAAATCAAATTAAATCAACTCATTATACTTTAGTAACCTTTTTGTGGTAGAACTCAAGCAGGTGAGAACATCCCTAAGCTAACTAAACCAGGCAGAGGACACATTTGAATTAGATCACACTGAGAGGTATTTAACATTGGGAGAGAATGGAAATTAGCCAAATATTCATCAGCCGTATTTATTACTAGAGGGGTATATTTGCAATTGTGGAGGCTACATGGGAAAGTCCTGATCAGAAGTCATGTCTGACAAATGGAAAGGAGAAAAATAATCCTGCCAGGTAAAAAGAGTTCTGCTGAGAGACAGGGACTCCCCGCAGGGTATTGTGGAAGAAGCAGAAAGAGGAAATTTATTTAAATGCCTTCATGGAAAGGAGGACTCTCAAGAGCTTTCCCGGCTGCCTTTTCAACCCCACAGGGTCTCCCCTCACACGTCTTTAAAAAGCTTACATTTTCTACATCAACACCCAGGGGGTCATGTGCTCATCCTTCCTTGCTCAAAGTCTCTTTCTCTCTCTTGCAGAGTGCAGTGGTAATATAAAGACAGCTTGGATCCCATGACCCCCCACGTACCTCCATTTTATAAGATTTCTTTCAGTCAGCTTGCACAGCAAGTTTAAACTGGGGAGAGGACTAAACCAAAATTATCTGAGGAGCATTTCTTCCATGGCTCTGCTCTACCTGGTCTGAAAAAAAGCAGCAGAAGATAAAAGTGACATTGAATACCATATTGTAGCATATTTTAGGAGAGAGGTAGCTTCTGGCTTTAGTGATTGTCTTTTGTGTTGATAAAATGTAACTGTTTATAAGCAAACTCTGAAGAAAGAAAGGCTTGGTTACCCTTAAGCTGTGGTCAAATATTTGAAGGCTTATTCTAAAGAAAAGTACTAAATTTATTCTTGTTACTCCAAAGGGAAGAACTACAACCATGTGTAGAATTTATGGAAAAAATATTTTGACTCGGCATTAAAAAACAGGAGTTACCTTTACTGCCTTGAAAAGTGGTGAAACTTCCAGCATTGAAAATGTTCAAGCAGAAGGCAATCTGGGTTGTATTAGTCAGGGATGGTTAAGCTGAAGTAACAAATACACCCAAAAGACTCAGTGACCCAAAGAACAAGAAGTTTGTTTTCTCTGCTGTGCCAGTCCTGGGAAGGTATTTCAGTCAGTGGTTCTCCCTCCACACCCCCACCGTTCCACAGTCATTCAAGAACCCAGGCTGAATGACCATTCTGATGTGTCTGAGTTGTCCTGGACACCACCATCCCAGTGCCCTGGAACAAGGAAAGAGCATGAACATTACACAGGGGAGGTTCTTTTCAGCTAGGCTTGGAAGTTGCACACACCCCCATCTCCTCCACTACTCCCATTGCATTGGCTGGAACTCAGTCTCATGGCCATAACTAACTGCAAGGGACACTGGGGAACATGGTCTACCTGGTGATCTTGGACAAGCTATTTAATATCTCAGCCACATTTTCCTCAACTGTAAAAAATGAAGATAACTCAAAAGACACTGTCAAGAAAGCAAAAAGACAACCCACAGAATGGGAGAAAATGCAAGTCATATATCTAATAAAGGTCTATATAAAGGATAAATAAAGAACTATTATAATTCAACAATAAAAAAGACAACCCAATTTTAAAATGACAAAGGACTTGAAAAGGAATTTCTCCAAAGAAGTCCATAAATGGCCAATAAGAACAAAGAAAAAAGCTCATTATTGGTCATCAAAGATATACAATTCAAAACAACAATGAGATACTACTTCACACCCATTGAGAAGGCTAGAATAAAAAAAGACAATAGTAAGTGTTGAGAAATTGGAACCCTTATACAACACAGGTGGGAATGTAAAATGGTACAGCTGCTTTGGAAAGCAGTTTGACAGTTCCTCAAAAAAGTTAAACGTAGAGTTACCACATGATTCTAATTTCACTCTTAAATACCCAAGAGAAATAAAAACATATGTCCACAAAAAATGTATACACAAATTTTCACAGTTGAATTATTCATAACAGCCAAAATGTGAAAACAATTCAAATACCAAATGACAATCAACTGGTCAACGAACAGATAAACAAAATGTAATATATGCATACAATAGAATATTATTTAGCCATAAAAAACAATGAAGTAGAGAGACATGCTATGGCATAGATGAACCTTGAAAACATTATGCTAAGTGAAAGAAGCCAGACATAAAAGGTTACATATTGTATGAGTCCATTTATATAAAATGTCCAGAATAGACAAATTCATAGAAACCAAAAAATGGGTTAGTTGCTTCCAAGGTTTTGGGAGACAGAGAAACAGGGAGTGACTGATAAGAGATATAGGATTTCTTTTTGTAGTGATGAAAAGTTTCTGCAATTAATAGTGATGGTTGCACAACATTGTGAATACACTAAAAAACACTGAACTGTGTAACTTAAAAAGGCAACTTTTATATGTAAATTTAAATAATGAAGCTATCCATCAAAAATAATAAATTAGCCGGGCGCGGTGGCAGGCGCCTGTAGTCCCAGCTACACGGGAGGCTGAGGCAGGAGAATGCCGTGAACCCGGGAGGCGGAGCTTTCAGTGAGTGGAGATTGCGCCACTGCACTCCAGCCTGGGCGACAGGGAGAGACTCCGTCTCAAAAAAATAAAAAATAAAAAATGATAATAATTATAATACCTACCTGTGCTAAGACTGCAATTTGATACTATTTCGCCCTTCTTTCACAGTAATAGGATTATAGTTGAGACCTAGCTGTCCAGTGACGGACTACATTTCCTATGTTTCATTGCACAAATTAGGGTGGTCATGAGGTTAAGGCCTCACTAATGAAACATGCGGAAATGGCAACAGCTAAAGCAAGCTTGGAAGCCATATCTTGCAGAAAACAGGGCCACTGCCAGCCCAAGGGTATAGATGACATCACACAGCAGAGCTCCCATCAAAACTCACCTCAAGGTTGTTGGTGGAGAAACACAATTCTGGATTCTTAAGCCACTCTGTTTTGGATTCCCTTTGTTACAGAAGCTAGTGTTACTCCACCCACGCAGAAGTATGTAAATGAAGTAGGTGCTGTCTTAACAAAAATCTAATATGCATGCCATTGGCTTAACAGTCAAGCAGTGAGTGGTAAAGAAATAAACATTATAGGCTGGGAAGTTGGAGACATTTGTACACCACACAAAACATTTGTCTGCAATAACATGCAGTAGTCCCCATTTTCCGAAGGGGGATATGTTCCAAGACGTCCTGTGGATGCCTGAAATCTTGGATAGCACTGAACCCTTTATATACTATTAAAAAATGTATTTTTTCAATCTGATAACCAAAGTGGCTACTAAGTGAATAATGGATAGTTTATACAGCTGGACACAGGGATGATTCACATCCTGGGTAGGACGGAGTGGGATGGCGAGAGATTTCATCACCCTACTCAGAATGGCATGTAATTTAAAACTCACGCATGAATTATTTATTTCTGGAATTTTCCATTTAATATTTTAGAGCCACATTTGACCTCCAGTAACTGAAACCACAGAAATTGAAACCACAGATAAGGGGACTACTGTACCTACTGAGTCACTAGCTCTGAGGTAAGTGCTTGAACAGAGAACTGCACATTTGTGTGTATTACTTGCTCCTTGCTGTTTTTAGCATGACTTTATAAAAAAAGAGAACACAATATAAAAAAATTGGGTGGAAGGAAATAGAACCAAGACACCACAAAAACACGGAAGGAAATAGAAAAAGTATAGAAATCTATAATTTCATATTCATTCATTTGTTCATTCATTCAACAAATATGTTCCAAGCACTTGGACTACACCAATGAACAAAACGCACAGTAAAGCTTATGAAATTTCAATTGGAGAGATAATACAAACAATACATATAATAAATAAATTATCTATATTACAAATATGTCACAGAAAACAAAATGATGGAGGACAGTGAGCACAGGAGTGGGGGACAGTTCATGATTTTGAGTAGGATGGTCCTGGTTAGCCCTATTGAGAGGGCAATAATTTGAGCAAAGACCTGCACATGAGGGGGTTCAATGAATAGGTCCCTAGAGAAAGTGTGTTCCAGGCAGAAGATGGTCAAGAGCCTGAGACGGATGTGCCTAGTGTTTTCAAGGAACACCAAAGAAGCCTGTGTGGCCAGAGTTGTGTTGGCAAGGGGAGTTATCAAGTAAGTGAAAAGTCACAGAGGAAAATGGGGCAGTTCATATGACTTTAGCTTTTACTCTAGTGAAAAGGGGAGGCTCCCAGGGTGTTGAGCAGAGGAGCAACGTTTCAAAAGGCTCACTCTTGCTCCAGGAGGGAAATGCGGAAACACATATCTAAGTCAGGAGGTGCTAACAGTAACCCAGGCCAGGGATGAAGGTTGCTCAGACCAGGGTGATAGCATGGGAGGCCAAGAGAAAAGACGGACTCAGGTTAACTTTTGAAAAGATGTTTTTGCTGAAAGACTGGAGGTGGGTTGTGAAAGAAAATGAGGAATAAATGACTCCAGAGTTATTAGAAGAATAAAGTTAAATGATGCAAATAAAATATAAACACTAAGACCAAAGCCAAATGGATGTCAAATGGTCAAGTTATATAAGAGGGTATTTCATAAAATGTGTCAGAAATACGGTTTAGGCTTAAGGCAAAAATGAGCTTCCTAGTACCCCACAAATATCACAACTCCCACAACTGAATTAAACTGGTCCTCTGGAAGCTGAAGAATTTAGGGAGGGGATGGCTAATTAGCACATAGACATTGGAAGAGCAACGTGAGTCTAGCACTTCTGAGAGTAAGTTGTCAAAGCAGGAGAGAGTCGGGGCCCATGAATCTCTCAGTGCAGCCCTCTCCCCACAGCAGCACACTGGATAGGGTGCTCTCAGCAATCTCCCAATGGTCATCCTCCTCCACCAGGAAAGAATAAGAACCCAGCGGGAGAAGAGACTAGAAGTTTTTCCCTGGAAACGCAAAGAATGAGGAATAAAAAATGTTCTCCATAACAATCGGGATTATTGAACTGTACAAATAGAAATATCTTTACTTTTAGAATAGAATAATTCTTCTGGACATGTCTTTAAAATCTTATTTTAGAGGGCATATGTAAAAGAATTAGTTCATTCTTATGTTTACAATATTCTTCCTCGCTTAGCCAATGACTTTCTCCGAGAGGCAATGGTGTTACGAAAACAGCCTAACTTTGCGGGGGCAGTTCTCATTTTGACCCCTCCACCTACTAGCTGTGTATGTAAGTTACTTAACAGCTTTTAGCTTCGATTTCTTGGCTATAAGAGAGGAGCAATGGTACTGGATGAATGAGATGCATATGGAAGGTAAATATTATAGTGTCCACCTATAAACTGCACCAACAAAGGTTACTTTCTCCTTAACACAAGAGGCTCCGTGGTGATATGGAATGCCAGCTTTCTGATGTATTTGGAATAGAGCAGTTCTTCCTGAAACACTGGCTCTCATATATGACATGCAACTTGCCCAAGTTGAAAGGGGAAACTTTGCTTTCCATTCAAACTCCCTTGGCCTCATTTTGGGGCAGCTTCTGAAAGCTTGTTGACCCCAAGTGCCACACTTCTGATAAGAACTGATAAGAGAACTCGATACAATGATGAAAAGGATCCTCTCATGAAAGAAACTTTTCTTGTGATGTCTTCAGCCCTAGCTCAAAGTCTTATGGTTGCCAGCAGATCAAAAAAAGCCTGGGGTAAAAATACAACCTCCATGGAGGTTTGTCTGTGGAAGCCGACTTGCTGGAAGACTACATTACTCAATGATTTTACAGTCTATTCTTATTGATGATATTTCAGTTATATGCAGTTGATTACAAATTTTTCTAACACCATAGTACTGGCTCAGAGCTCTTACTAATTATGACAGATGCTGTGGAAAATTATGATAAGGGAATTTCAAATGCTTTGATTAAAATGATATTCACAGAATTGACATTTATGACTAATTTGGTTCTTCTTTTATGCTGTAAGTTAATCCATATTTTGTGTTGTACATGAAAGGAAATTAGGAGAATGTCAGGAGCAAACTACTACCAGCAGCAAAGCAGCTGTCTATTTATAAAATAGTCTCTAGTGTTCAAAGAAAAAAAATCTATATAAAGAGATTTATTTTAAAATGGTCTGAACATATTACTAGATGGGAGTCAATTGCTTCATAGCATTATTTGGCATTCTTCAGTGTTTTCCCACAGCAATTTACACCTTTGTGTAATATGGTATAATAGAAAGAAGTAGACTTGGGAGTTTAAAAGTTCTTGGTTTTGACCAGGCACGGTAGCTCATGCCTGTAATCCCAGAACTTTGGGAGGCCGAGGCAGGCAGATCACGAGGTCAAGAGATCGAGACTATCCTGGCCAACATAGTGAAACCCCGTCTCTACTAAAAACACAAAG